AGAAGTACTAATGGTGTATGGTTTATGGCTAACCTTTTGCTTTGTTTGTTTTCAGTTTGTCCTATCCTTTGTTCCTTTAGTCCTCTTGTCCTTTCTTTGGGATTCATTGGATTTTTTTTTTTTTAACTCCTTTCCCCTTGAACCTTAGATTTTTAAGTTATTTGTTCTTGTAATTATCGTAATAGCTACCCTAGACATTGCAATATTTATTATAGTTTTCTTAAATTAGTACTTTTACCACTTGCCAGATAAAGATCCTACAAGTACTTAACTCCACTTACTTTCCTACACTTACACCAATGTTATATATTCATAATACATAACTACTGTTATATATTCCACATTGTATATTTTCCTCCATTATATTTTACTTCTGTAAGCCAGTTACATGTTCCACAAAATGTACTTCCACAGAATATAAATATGTAAATGTTTACTTCCACAGAAATAAAATATACAACAGTGCATGTCTTCAAGACATTATTGTTGCTGTTTAAATAATCAATATGCTTTTACATTTGCCTACAGATTTTATCTTTGCCATTGCTTTTTATTCTCCCTTCTGATTCTGTACCTCAATCTGGGGGTCATTTTCCTTTGGGCTGAAGTACTTCCTTCGGTATCTTCCTTAGCACTGGTTTGCTAGTGCCGAATTATCTGGTTTTGTCTGTCTGAAAATGCCCTTTTTGACTTAGCTTGTGAGAATACTTTCACTAAGTATGGAATTCTCCATTGGTAAGGTTTTCTCTTTATTTATTTGACAGAGAGAGACACAGCGAGAGAGGGAACACAAGCAGCGGGAGTGGGAGAGGGAGAAGCAGGCTTCCCGCCAAGCAGGGAGCCCGATGCGGGGCTCGATCGCAGGACCCTGGGATCATGACCTGAGTTGAAGGCAGACGCTTAACGACTGAGCCACCCAGGCACCCCAGGTTTTTTCTTTTCTTTTTAGCAGTTTAAAGATTCCCCTGTCTTCTGTCTTCCAATGTCTCTGCTGAAAAGTCAACCATTAGTTTTATTGTTACTCCTTCAAAGGTTATGGGTCATTCTTCTCTGGATGTCTTTAGGATTTTCTCTGTCTTTGGTTTTCAGCAGTTTGACTATGACATTCTTAGGTGTGGTCTGTTTTTATTCCATATGGAGCTTGCTGAGGCTTATGAACCTGTGGTTTGATGTCAACAGTTTTTTTTTTTTAAAGATTTTATTTATTTATTTGAGACAGAGAGAATGAGAGAGAGAGAGCACATGAAAGGGGGGAGGGTCAGAGGGAGAAGCAGGCTCCCTGCCGAGCAGGGAGCCCCATGTGGGACTCGATCCAGGGACTCCAGGATCATGACCTGAGCCGAAGGCAGTCGCTTAACCAACTGAGCCACCCAGGCGCCCCTGATGTCAACAGTTTTGAGAAAATTCTCACCCATTATTTCACTAAATACTGCTTCTGCCCCATTATGTTTCTGTCTGTGACTTTAGTTACACATATCTTTATATTGCGTTCCTTGTCTCCTATGCTTTTCTTGTAGATTTTTGTTTTGTTTTTGCATTCTTTTTACTGTCTTTGCTTCAGTTTGGATTTTTTATGTTGACCTACCTTCAAGCACTAATCTTGTCTTCTGCTGTGTCCATCTTGCTGTTAAGCCCATAAAATGGATTAATTTCAGATTTGTGCTTTTCAGCTATTTAAAAAAAAAAAAAACCTTATTAAGGCATAATTTACAAACTGTAGAATTCACCCATTTTAGATGAACCCAAATGGTTTATAGAAAAGTCTTTTCTTTTTCCTTTTTCCCTCTTAATAATATATTTTGGAAAGGGGCGCTTGGGTGGCTCATTCAGTTAAACATCTGATTTTGGCTCAGGTCATGATCTCAGGGTCCTGGGATCAAGCCCCATGTTGGGCTCCACGCTCAGTGGGGAGTCTGCTTCTCCATCTCTCTTTCCCTCTCCCCCAGCCCCTCCCCCCTCTCATGTTCTCTCTTGCTCTCAATCTTTTTTTTTAAAGGAATATATTTTGGATGACATTTAATTTTTTTTTTAAAGATTTTATTTATTTATTTGAAAGATAGAGACATAGCAAGAGAGGGAACACAAGCAGGGGGAGTGGGAGAGGGAGAAGCAGGCTTCCCGCCGAGCAGGGAGCTCGATGCGGGGCTCGATCCCAAGACCCTGGGATCATGACCTGAGCTGAAGGCAGATGCTTAACCAACTGAGCCACCCAGGCGCCCCTAAATTGAATTGTAATTCAAACACAAAGGAAATCCACATCACTAATTTCGCCAATTAACCTGTCAATATACTGATTATCCAAAACTTCAGCATGGCAGAGCTGCCTCTATGCAATTTTTAAGAATTGAGATATATACCATAAAATTCACCCTTATAAAGTACACAATTCAGGGGCACCTGGGTGGCTCAGATGGTTAAGCGTCTGCCTTCGGCTCAGGACATTGTCTCCAGGTCCTGGGATAAGCCCCACATTGGGCTCCCTGCTTAGCAGGGAGTCTGCTTCTCCCTCTTCCTCTCCCCACTGCTCCTGCTGTCTCAAATGAATAAAAAATTCTTAAAAAAGAAAAAAAAGTACACAATTTAGTGGTTTTTTGTATTTTAGTATTCACCAAGTTGAATAACCATCACCATTACTTAGTTCTGGAACATTTTCATCACCCCAAGAAGGAACCACATACTCAGCAGCAGTCACTCCCCATTCTTTCCTCCCCCAACTCCGGGCAACCCACTAATTTGTCAGTCTCTATAAGATTTCCCTATTCTGGAAATTTCATATAAATGGAATCATATGTAACCTTTTGTGACTGGCTTCTTTTACTGAGCAGGTTTTCAAGCTTCTCGTATTGTACCTTGTGTCTGTACTTTTTTTATGGCTGAATAGTATCCCATTATATGCATATATGGAAAGATTTTTATTTTTTATTTTTTTTACCCATTCATCTGTTGACATCTGGGTTGCTTCCAATTTTTTTGGCTACTGTAACAGTGAAATGAGCATCCATGTACAAGATGTGTGGACAAAGTTTTATTTCTCCTGGTTATAAACCTAAAAGTGGAATTGCTGGGTCATATGACTCCTCTATGTTTAACTTTTTGAAGAACTGCCAGACTTGTAATCCCATGTGGCTGCACCATTTTACATTCCCACCAGCAATGTATGAGAGTTCCGATTTCTCCACATCACTGCCCATATTTAATAATTGTCTTCTTGATAGCCATACTAGACAGGGTTTGTGTGTGTGTGTGTGTGTGTGTGGTTTTAATTTACATTTCCCTAATGACTAATGTTAAGCTTCTTTTATGTGTCTACTGGCCATCTGTGTATCTTCTTTGAAGAGGGATCTATTCAAATCTTTGCTCATTCATTATTCAGTTATAAGAATTCTTTATGTATTCTGGACACTAGACCCTTATCTATAATCCATATTTAGAACAGATCCATCATCCCAAAATAATCCCTTATGCTTGTTAGCAATTCCCACTCCTGCCCCCAGTGCCAGGCAACCATTATGCTGCTTTCTGTGTGTTTTGGGTAAACTCCTCCTGCTAATGAAATCTTGTCTCCTAAATATGGTGAGATTATGGGAGATTTCATTCTGCCTTTTGGAAGCCCTGGGCTTAGCTTCTAGGATGCCATGTACAGCTCTGGAATTCAGCAAATGTCCTGTGAGAAAACCAGTCATGTATTTGGGGTCCCCAGGTTTCCAGTGTGCCCTGTAACCAAGAGTCTTGTGATTTTCTTTTCCCCAGCAGACCCCTCTGCTGGGCCAAACCCAATCCTCAGTCTCAGGCCTGGAATCAGCAAATGCCCCCCAGGGAAGAAAATGGCCAAACCACCAGTCCACCTCAGAAAGGCTTCCTTCTCTGAAATTCCAATTCATTTAGTCCTTACTGCTTCCAGTTTTCTGAAATAAAATAAAATATTATTTTGGTGTTTATGTTATTTGCAGTATGACTGTTGTGTTGCTGTGACCCACTATATCCTACCCAATAATTACTGTAAACTTTTAAGTCTTTATATCTTGTCAGGCAAGTTTCCTAGGTTTCCCTCCCTTCTCCAAATATATATGGGCTATACAGGGGCATAATTCTTCCATATGAATTTTTAAAATGCATTTGTCTAGTTCTGTCTCTCACACACACACACACACAATTGAGATTTTGTTGAAAAACCTATTGAATTTATAAATTACCTGAGACAGAATTAAAACTTTTAATTAAGAGTCTTAAGCTCCCTATCCATAAACATGGTATACCTAACCATTGAGCAAATTTCTATTAGGTCCTTTGATAATATTTTGTACTTTTCTTATAAAGGAATTGCATTTTTTATTAGATTTGATCTAAGATTAATAAATTAATAAAAAGATTAGTTTATCTTTTAAAGCATTTTATTTTTTAGAATAGGTAATATATGTTACAAATTTCTCAAAGCTCTCATTTTCCTCAGTCACCCAGGTTTTGTCCAGAAGAAATGTCATCCAATGTTACTAGCTTATTAATTTTAATATGGTTAATATTCATATATTTTTTCAATATTTTACCTAGTAATCTGGCTGAATTTTCTTATTATTTCTGATAGACTATTTTGGATTTCCTTTATGTATATGCATCATCTGCAAAGAGCAACCATTTGGTCACTTCTTTTCCATTCCCTATTCTAAGGATTTTACTGCATTAACTAGGATGCTTCTAATAAAGTAGCTGTAAAAAGTAGCTGAATAATAGCTGTGACAGAAGGCAATCCTGTCTTATTCCTGGCTTTAATGGAAGGGCTTTTGTTTCATATTTACATATGAAATTTGCTGTAGGTTCCTGGCAGATGGCTTTTCAGGTTAAAAAATTTTTGCCTTTGGCCCTACTTTGCTAAGAATGAGAATCATGAAAGTTTTTATCAAATTATTTTATGCACCTACTGAGATGACCATATGATTTTTTCCCCTTTAATCTATTAAATGTGTTGAGTCACCCACTCATGGAAAAAAAGTAGTCTCAAGTAAAACACTTTTACCCCAGGTTGTTATTTATTTTCATGATGGGGGGAAAAAAGAACCTTTTATGATAGTGAAAATATACTTTATTTTTTTAATACAATAGCTGCCAGCAATATACTGGTTCTAGAGAGAGAAAAGAAAATACAAGCATTCTGTAATAAGCTTTCATTTGCCTTTTCAAGTAATTCTAAAGAAAATACTCCAATTCTGTTCAACATTAGGACTTAGGGAGTTGAAATTATTTTCCATGATAAAAATATAATTTCGACAAGCTCCGATCTTGATCATTTGTAAAGGATGGAATAAAAAAAAGCCCATTTAGGATATCAATAATGAATGCTTCCCTCTCTGAATCAAATGCTGATTACAACCAGTGTAAGAAAATGGTTAATCAATAAACGATGAAATGTGTATCAAAATGTTTATGAAAAAATACATTGCTATTTCTTCTCATTTTTTACCTTGTAGGTATTTCTTAAATGGATATTTTAAATGTACAGAAACAAAAGCTATCTACATAACTCTAGAAAGATCCAAAACTCAACCGATGTTAAAATGCCTAAATTCTAGAGTTGATCAACTTAGTGAAGAATAAATGTCAGAAATCTCTTAATTGTACACAGATTGCTCAAGAGTTTAAAAATATTGTGTAAGCTGAGTTATCAAGAAATCAAACCTAGTATGATTTTCATCACAAAAGTCAATGCTCTTTATAAAAGATAGCAGAGGGGTATAGAAAATCTGCACCTACATTAAAAAAAAAAAAAAAAGGAAGTTATATCAACTGAAATAGTAAAGAGCTTTCCAACTGTTCAACACAAAAACTTCTCAGAATTCCTTGGAAAACAGTGAGAGTTTCCATTCAGACTCTAATCTTGTTGAGGTGGAACAGAAGGGGTTTACATTAAGGGGGAAATGATTTAGTAGTTGTAGAAATAGTATCAGATGATCTGCATTATGTCAGTTTATAAACTACATGAACTGCCATGAAAACTTCTATGCCCTAAAATCTCCCAACATTTTAAGCTATGATCTTTCCACAAGTATAAAATGGGGGGAAAAAATCATGTTCTGGGATCATCCTTTTTCCTAGCTTTTGTCCATTTGCCAATCTCAATTTCATCTATCTTCCCTGATAAAGTAATAATAAGATCTGTCTTTCTACATCAAAATCGTAACAGACAGACCTGCCTTCCTTGGACATCTAGACAGACAGCCAAGTAAAATCATGGGATAAATTTTAAAAAGACAATGAAGAGAATAAATATCCAAAGTGAAAGTAGTTCACGACTGAATTTCAGAATGTGGTTTTCATCCCTCTGTTTTGAGAAATGTACCTCTGTCCTCATTAGCCCCTCTATTCTGCACCACTTAGTCCCCTGCTCACTGGAAAGAACAGACCCTTCTCTTGAATCTTTTTCATACTTTGAGAGCCAGGAGGCGAGGTTCAGTATCACCTGAATGCCAAGTTACTACTATTTTAAAGGGAGGTGAGAAGTGGTGATGGCTGCCTGTGTCCTGGAGCACACGTGACATTTTCTCCCACCGAAGCTACTGCTATAGAACTTCCCGGCGATAACCTGAGTGCTTTTCTTGCAACCAGATAAGTCATCATCCAATATTTAATTAAAGGTGGGTGCCCAAATTTTTTATCAGCAGTAAGGAGTTCTAAGAAAGGCAAGGCAAAGAAACCTCCCTGAGCCAAATGGATACAATACGGAGCTTATCTTTCTATACCAAGGTAATTACAGACTGATAGGTTAAAAAATGCAGTATATGCTTATAAAAATCAGGCTGCTTCCCTAATGCCAGTGATTACTAAATGTTAACACACCAAACGGGGGAAAACATTGCCATTTGAAAGCAATAATGTAAATTTCCAAAAACAGCCTATGAGAAATAGCACTTCTTAAACAAGTTACATATAAAAAATTACCAAAAATGTATGATAGTTACAACTATGGTCTTTGGAGCAGTAGTACTTAGACAGTCCATTTTCAAAAAATGAATAAATACGTAGCAAACTTTTGTTTTATTTTTACCAAGTTCATCCTCCCTTGTTAGAGCACAAATCATTCCTGGTTTAGGACTTCCAATTTTTTAAAAAAACAAACATGCAGAGTGCTATTCCTCAATGTGGCTTTAGAAAAATTTAATTGAAGGAAGTACAATGATTGAGATTAGGCAAAACTGCAGTAAATATGTACTCACCATAACAACTATAATTTAGTTCCAAAGGAGTTAGCCATGCTCTCTACCCAAAGTTTAAGAGTCAACGGGGGTTGAATGGGAAAGCTGGTGATGGCTGTTTTATCTTGTTTTTAATACACGATGGAAAAGGCATTCTTTAGGTTATCCATATTAATTAAATATGCTTCAGAAACAAAATTCTGCTTGACATTTTGACAAACCCACCCTACATTCCTTAGGTTATTATCTGTGTTAATTTTTACATTACAAGTCATACTGCTATCGCTAAATCAACTAAATATCAGTTTATGTAGTGTTACTCAAAAGATCTACAGACAGCAAGGTCTACGCTTACCTAAAAAGGAGCTTTTTAAAATAAAGGAGGAAAGCAATAAGGTTCCAAAAGAATGGCACTGGGCAAAACACACACAAAAAACAACACATTCAGACAGAGTAGCAGGTGCCCATAGGTTTTTCTCAGATAGATGAAATGCTTTGAGGAAGATCTTGAGAACATCATCCCTCTCTCTGAACTTGTAGCTCCTACACAGTGTCCGATGTTGTAACTGGTATGAAGGGTAAATGCTTTTAGGCAAAAGTAAAAATCCATGTACAAAGTAAAACAGCAAGATCTGTAGTGACTTTCTGTGGAAGGCTCTCTTCACTGGTGGTGACACACCCAGGACAGACTGAATTGAGACAGAGCATTCTGATACAGTAGCAATCCTTTCATATACTCTTACTAAATATTATACAATCCCCAAAATACATAAATGTTCCTTGTACCATGCATTGTGCACCAGTTTTCGGCTGACTGATGAAGTCGTGGGTACTATTTTAACAGCTACACATTGGCCCTCCGAAGTTCTGCCCTCAGTCCACAGGGAACAGACACGACGGTGAGGGCTCCGGAGGGACGGCAGTCTACCTCTAGAGTGAAGAGTGTGGCGGAGTGTCTCCGGATTAGAGGAGAGGAGGGTACGGGGCAGGGGAGGGAGACAGGATAAAGTGTTTTAACATAATACTGCTTAGGAGTGTATATTTAAAGATAGCTACTATACCTTGTCTAGCCTTTGTCCTAATCTTGAGTAACTGCACGTTCATGCAAAATAAAATTTCTACTTTATAGGAACAGGAGCAGTCTGTTAGGAAAAGCATATCCTTAGGGGAAGATGCAAAGACATCTCTCTCAGAAGGGATATTTTACTTGGTAAGTCTTTTGGCTACATCACTATAGGCTATTTCAACCTCCTTATCACTGGGACAGGTATTGGTAAACTCATCCCTACTATGTGCATTAGTTAAGTATCTCCAGATGCCAGTCATTCCTTTTGGAATATCAAAGTTGCGGTATTTTTTGGCCACCACCTGAAATACAAAGAGATCAAAAGTTAACATTTATTTTCCATGACTTGTAAACCAGACTTATGTCTAATTCTGTGAATCTCTGAGAACTGCTTCTATTTGAGAAGTCACCTTCATTCTAACTAGAGTTTTAAATAATGACAAGGACCGCAAAGTACATCTGAACTTCAGTAATGTGACAGGGATTGCAAACGCCTGCCCTGGTGACCCAGAGAGACAGCCAGGTGTAATCTCCGGGTAAATACTTCAAGGCACACACATGATTTTACATCTCTGTTTTCCTTGGTCTTGATCTTTATCACAACTAGTGTTTACTACTATTCTATTTAGCGCAGTGTCTTACACAATAAATGCTCAGTAAATATTTCTTTGCCTTATATAGAAATAACCAGGTGATCACACAACAGAATCTGACAACGTAAGTCAATGTAGCAAACTCCAATTCAAAGTTACCTGCTACATTTTTGAATTTTTATACAGTCACCAAAAAAAAAAAAAAAAATTCTTCTTTCTCATATGCCTCAATTTTAAGACATAATTTTCCATTTTGTTAACTCGAGGGTATTCCAACTGTTGCCTAAATAGTATTAAGTTATACTGTTTGGGGTTCCTAGGCATATACCAGATCAAAAAAAAAAAAATTTATAGACAAAGAAAGTGCTATCTTAGTACACAGAGAATACCCGGTCTAACGGTGATGTCACACCACATCCTGCAGGCCTACCTTGACAATGTGCAGTTTGGGAAGCAGGTTGCAATCAGCTAATGTCATTTCATTGCCATCCAGAAATTTACGTGTAGAAAACTTAATGTCCTCCATACTATTCTCATCAATTTCATCAGGGAGGGGAGAATTCAGATATTCATCCAGTTTCTGTAGGGTTTTCAAGAGACCCCTCTCCAGTGCTGAAAGAAAGATGGGGATACTGTAAGAAGGAAAACCACCCAAGTCCCGAAGTAGAAGCATTACTCTTTCGGTCAATAACTATTTTATCAACTGCTTACTCTGACATGAGGCACTGTAGAACAGGACAGACAAGGTTCCTGCTCTCCTGGAGCTTCTTTACATGGGGCAAGGGATGAGACAAGTACATTTGTTCAGGTAAGCACAGAAATGAGCATGACCGTTTCAGAAACTGGAATCTGTAAAAACTCAATAACTAAATGTCCCACTTAAAAACACACTATGGCCCAATACAGTGGATGTTTAAACTAGAAAAATTGGTGAGAAAAGGCAAACCTATTAATTCAAGTCTAGGGAAGAAAATCTTGCCAAGACAGAGATTCTTGCCCTGAATTTTGATGCCTGTTTCCCCAGGAATATTTGGATTTATCACCAAGAAACACGTTAAGATACTCCGATACAGACAATCCAAGCAGAAAGCCTGAATGAAGTTTTTGCACTGTCTTGTAATACACAAGAAGTCAAGAATAGCACTATTTTATAATAACACGGAAAACACAGACGTCAGATTAGAGAGTTCAATTTACAAAAGTGCATCAGGGGGCTCTTCACCCCAATAGATTAAGATGTTATGACTGTTATAATTCAGAGACGAGTGGGACAGAGCCACCCCTGTGTACCTGGAAAGTCAAGGTTAGTGACCTTTAGCAGAGGGGGTGGGAAGGTCGTTAGATACACATACGGACTAACAGCAGACCAGTCTTCTGCTACCCTTATCCTTTACCTTCCCAGGCCGCCTTCACCCTCCACCCTCTGAATGCACAAGCTCACATTGGTGACCACAGTGCTTGGCCATAAAAGAAAGCTACATATCATGAGGTGACAACCAATACAGTTATAAGTTTGAATAAATTTGGTTCCATTAGAGAAAAAGACAAAAGTTTTATATGCTGCGTATTAGATATTTCACCAGATATTAGATATTTCACCAGCAACGTAAGTATGTCCTAACCCAAAACCTCTTCTTCCAAATTGCTCCCACCCATTCATTCTTGGCAGTGCCCCGCCCCCTGCAGTGCAGACAACAGATGGCAGATAAGGGGCTAGATAAGGGGCTGTGGGTATAAAAAGGAGTAAGTGGATTTTGGAGGTACTTAGGCGATAAAAACCAACAGAGCTTGGAAGCAAAACTGAATATGGAAAGAGGATAGATGTTTTCAACAAAATACAGACGTGAGCTCCTACTACATGCCAACTCTTATTCTAAGCATCGTTAAATTCACTCTTGAACAAAGCAGTTTGAGTTTACATTTTGGGGAGTGGGCATAGTACAGAGAAACGGCCAACAAACTATTCCCAGGGTAAAGGCTGGTATCATTTGCTGAAACATTTACCTGCCTAGAGAAGCAGGTTCAGGGGGTGCGGACAAGAGTTCAGTATGTGCTGCCTGTGAGGTGAGTTGTCTGTGAGACCTCAGAGTAGGAGCTGGGCTACAGTGTCTGGAACAGTCTGGGCTGGAGCAGTATGGCTGGGAATCCTGAGAACATAAATGAACACCGAAACCACGGAAGCGAAGGACAGGCGGGGGGTCCAGGGTAGCACCCTAAGGAACATCATCTGTGGTGTTGTGCAAGGCAGATCAGCCATTTTCGTTGTTACCTAGCATTCCACTATATGACTATATAAGAAATATTCATCCATCCTGTAAATGGGGTCTGTGTTGTTTACGGTTTGAGGCTCATGACTAATCGTGGAACAAACATTCTTGGACATATCTTTTTGGTGCACATTTGTTCATATTCCACTCAAAAATGGAGTTGTGGGTTACTGGGTATACCTGTGTTCAGGTTTAGTAGAAACTGCAATCAACTTGCCAAGTTCAACACAACAAAGAGCAGTGCAGTGACATCGCAGTGACTTCACATCTTCAACACCACTCGGTGCTGTCAGTCTCTTCAGTTTTAGCCATTCGGGAGGATGACAAATTAGGTTTAACACCTTTTCATATTTACCGACTATTTGGATATCCTCTTTTTGTAAAGTGCCGTTTGTTCATTTTTCATCGCATAGCCTGTCTTATTTGTAGGAGTTCTCTATAAATTACAGATGCAAGCCCTTTGTGGTAATACGTATCACATATTCCTTCACCCTTTCCACTCCCTTAATGGTGACTTTTTATGAACAGAAGTTACTAAACCTAATGTCCAATTAATCAATTTTGTTTCTTCCAAACAAACTTCCAGTGCTTCATCCAGATTAAGAAATCTTACCTACCCCTAAATTATGAAGATATCCTCCATTATCTTCTAGATATTGTGTATTATTTACCATTCACATTTATATCTACAATCCACTTAGAAATGGTTTTTTTTTTTTAAAGATTTTTTTTTTTTAATTTATTTATTTGAGACAGAGAGAATGAGAGACAGAGAGCATGAGAGGGAGGAGGGTCAGAGGGAGAAGCAGGCTCCCTGCTGAGCGGGGAGCCCGACGTGGGACTCGATCCCAGGACTCTGGGATCACGACCTGAGCCGAAGGCAGCCGCTTAACCGACTGAGCCACCCAGGCGCCCAGAAATGGTTTTTGTGTAGGTGTGAGATAGGGGTATTTTCTTGACTCCATATTCTGTTCCATTGTTCTGTTTGTCTATCCTAGTATTAGTACCACACTGTTTTAACTACTATCCCTTTGTAAGTCTTGATATCAGGTAATTTAAGTCTCTCTTCAATTTCCTTCAATTTCCCTAATAAATTTTAGAATTAGCATGTCAATTTACACACACACGTGCATGCATGCATGCACAGAAAACCGGCTGGGCTTTTCAATAATTCACAGATTCAACAGAACCCCAACTTGAGAACTGGCATCTTTACAATACTGAGGCTTCCAATCTATCAATACCACTTATTTAAATCTTTAAAACATCTCTTTCAGTGACTTATGTTTCCTGTGTAGAGGCTTTGACCATCTTTTATTGGATTTATTCCTAAATACCTGACTTTTTAATATCTGACATTTTGATGGTGTAAATATTTTTGCATGTTTTCTATTGTTTGTTGCCAGCATGTAAAAATACAACTGATTCTTATAATGGCCTCATATCCAGTAACCTTGCTCTTTCATTTTTTTATTCTTACAGTTTATCTGTAGATTCCTTTGGATTTTCTACATACACAATTATATTGCTTAAGAATAATGACAAATTTGTTCCTTCCTTTACAATTCTCATACCTTTTATTTCTTTTTCTTGCCTATCGTACTGGCCAAGACCTTCACTACAATGCTGAATAGAAGTGGTGATAGTGAGCACCACTTCCTAGTTCCCAGTCTCAAAGGAAACCGAAATTTCACTAGTTCCCTATTACATTTGATATTTGCTATAGCTTTTTTGGTAGATTCTTTCTGTCAAATTAAGGCAGTTCCCTGCTACATCTAGTTTGTTAAGACATATATATATATATATATGTATGTATATATATATCATTTTACCATAAGTTATCAAATTTTATCAAGTACTTTTTCTGCTTCTACTGAAATGTTATTTTTCTCCTTTATGCTATTAATTTATACAGATATTTTAATGTTTAAACAATCTTCTGTTCCTGACTTAAACCCCACTTGGTTGTATTATCTTTTCTCATATTGCTGGATTAGATATATTTTATTTAGACTTTTGCATCTATGTTTGGGAGAGACTGGCCTGAAACCATCTTTCTTTTGATGTTCTTGTGTGGTCTGAGTGTCAAGGTTGACCTCAAAAAGCAAGCTGGGAAGTACCTTCCTGTCTTCTGTTCCCTGCAAGACTATGTGCAACACCGATGTTACTTCTTCCCCAAATGCTTCTGGTGCATTGGTGGAGCTATCTGGATCTGGAATTTTTTTTTTTTATGAAATGGTTTTTAATTACAGACATAAGACTATTTACATTTTATGCCCTCCTATAGTAATTTTGTTACACTATACTCTCTGTAAATTTAACCAACAGTGTTTTCAAATTTATAAGCATAAAATTTTTCATAATATCCTCTAAAAATCACCTCAATGTGAGATCTGTAACAATCTTTTATTCCTAATATTGGTTATTGCTGCCTTTCTCACTTTTCTGGATTTTTCTTGTCAAGGATTTATTAATTTTTATTTATTAGACTTTTCGTGGAACTAACTTTTAGCCTCACTGACCCTCTGTCATGTTTGTTTCTTATTTCAAGGAAATCTGCTGGTTAGTATTTCCTTTCTTCTACTTTCTTGGGTTTAATTTGCTGATCTTTTTCTACCTAAACCCCTGAGGTGGAGACCGTCAGACTTCCAATCCTTTTTTTTTTTTTT